CGGGGGGGTAGTCTCCGTGGGGAGGGACCCGCCGGGGGACACCGGCAGAGGTGCCAGCAGGGCAGGGCTGGCGGCAAGTCGAGCGCAGGGAGAGGGGGTCCGTGCCGTGCGCCCCTCCTGCCGTCCCCGCCGCGGGACGGGCTCCAACCTGCCGGCTCTGTGTCCCCAGTGCAGCCACCAGGGCTCCGACAACTGCACCTACAGGAACTTCACCAGCGCGGCGCAGGCGGTGACCGAGTGGTACATCCTGCAGTCCACCAGCATCCTCTCCAAAGTCCCGCTGCAAGAGAGGATCAGGATGGGCTACCAGGCAGAGGACATGATCCTGGCCTGTCTCTACGGGGCCGAACCCTGCAACTACAAGTAGGTGCCTGCCGAGCTCCCTGCCCTTTTCTGTCGCATCAGGAACGGCACAGGACACTGAAGGCAGGACAGCCTCGTTCTTTTCTCTCTCTAAGGTGTAGGTCAGCTAATGAAAGGGTTTCTGCTGGTTCTTAACTCTAACAACATTTGCCATGGAGGTTCTGGATGTGATCGTGGCTGAAAGGGGTTATTTTGGGGTAGTGCTGGCGTGAGTTTTAGTTTTGGATGGGCCATTTTGCTCATGACACATCGAGACTAACAGCATCCGTGGGACCTCCCCAGGGTATTTAGTGATAACCAGCTGCAAAGAGGGCAACAGAGAAAAGTTATCAAAGAACGAGATACAGCACCAGCCAAAACCTGTTACCGCAGTTCAGATCAAGCCATTCTTCCTCTCAGCTGTGTGACAGAGAATTCCTTTCTTTTCCAACAAAGCGTTATCCCCAGTGGCTGCAGCTCAGTACACACCAGTACCTTGCTTTGCTTTTTTTTTTCAACAGCAGATTGATTGAAATTATATCAGCTGAAATTTCTGTGCAGGCATTCGAGAAACGAAGCAATCTGAAGTGAATCCTCGATGTAGCTGCCAAGCACCGGTCCCACCGGGTGCATTATTTTATAACCCTTTAGTCCTTCCCGAGAGTCACAGTTTTATGTGCACGATTCTTCCAGGAATTTCACCCAAATCTATCACCCAGACCACGGTAACTGCTACATCTTTAACTGGGGCATGGACGAAGAGGCTTTGAATTCTTCCAACCCTGGAGCTGAGTTTGGTAAGAGAGAGCTCTGCTGGGGAGGAAGGGGCCGAAGGAGCAGGAGTGCCGGGAGTTACTCTGTCTCTGAGTACCCATTTCTGTCAGATATAACAGAGTTATGATTTCGGTGTCTCTGAAGCACTACGGCAGGGAGTAACAGTTTTCCAGGAGGGGATAAGCCCCCAAAAGGGAAACGTGCCACACAGAAACAAGTGATGTGACTGAAGATGTTACTTCACAGAGCTGTAACATCTGGATAGCCAAAGTACCTGAGGCAATGTCTGAATATTCACTCAGACATTTCCATCCTGTGCATTCACCATCACGTGTATTTATGCGCACACGAGGCTGCCGTGACAGCCAGACCCCGGCTCTTCCCCCAAGGATGGAGATTTTCATGCACAGCGGAAAGAAAATAGACTACATTTTCCAAAGACTCGTGTTTTGACACAATTCCTATTCTGAGTGTTTTGTCCCAGGGCTGAAGTTAATTCTGGACATCAGCCAGCAAGACTATATCCCCTACCTGTCATCCGCTGCCGGGGCCAGGCTCATGCTGCACCAACAGAAGAGCTTCCCCTTCCTCAAGGATCAGGGCATCTATGCGATGGCCGGGACGGAAACCTCCATCGGCGTGCTAGTGGTATGTGTGGCATTCCTCTCGAGCAGATTGTCTGAGAATAATGTTATCTGATGGGACTGCAACCAAGTTTGTTTTAAGTCTTGGCTGAACTGGCTCAAACCAAAAGAGTCAAGGTATACGCTAGCTGTGGGCTGGAACGGTTTATGGAGACTTTTATGTAACTGTCCTGGCAAAGCGCTTTATTGGAGCCAAAATACTGAGCTCGGGTCATTGTTCCCTCTTCCTTTGGCGTGTCAGAAGGCGCTTTGCTACAACGTGCTGCTCTTGAACACCCTCATCTGCCCTGATCCGCCCCAGGGAACGGGCTGCATCTCCTTCAGCTCGGCCGCCTGCGGTTCTCCGGTGGTTTTCAGAGCCAGGCGGGAACGCAGGAATGACAGAGTCTCATTGGCACCAGGGACCTGGGGAGGAGTGACAGCTACTGAAGTTTGCTGTTTTGGTTTTCTTTCAGGATGAACTGGAACGGATGGGCTATCCCTACAGTGACTGCACCAATAACGGCTCCGATGTCCCTGTGAAAAACCTCTATAGCCAGTACAACACTTCCTACTCCATACAGGTAACACACGTCTTTAAATCAAACAAGGCTGGCTAGGAAAAACTGTCAAAGCAGATAAAACCTTTGCTTAGCGTGCAGGGTTACGGGAGGATCAGCAATGCTGAAGTAGAAAGCATGACCTAGACACGAGAACCTTCTTTTCTGGTAATAAATCCGCACTCCAGTCTGAAAGTGCAGTAGCCCCAGGTTTGGGAAGGATCCCAGTGGATCCAGTGGAAATAACTGTGTATTGCAGGAGCAAGACCTGACGATGCAGGTATTAAAACTTGCACCAAAAGATACAGGACGTTGCTCCGGCAGGCAGCACAGATCAGCGCAATCTTTGGGTTTCCTTCTCACACCGAAACGGCTCGTACGGCCAGGAAAGGGATCAGCAGTCACTGTTCCCTTAGCCAGGCATGAGTTTTGTTTTGGTTTGAGAGGATGAAAATAGTAATTTCTGTAATTTTCCCAAAAGCCAAAACACAGCAGACCCCTGGGATCTCTGCGGCCGCAGGGCCCCGCTAGGAGCCACCTACCAGCAAAGCGCCAGGTCACAGACAGAGACACGAACATTTCTGCCCCCGCACGTGAGCGCACTCCCATGCTGGTCCTCTCCTCCTACCCTGGCACCCCAAAGCAGAGCCTCTCATCCTGAAAACCAGGCAGGGTGAGAGCAGCCCAGGCCCTCGGTCCCTGGAAAACTGCCGCTCCTGCCGCTTTCCCCCTTC